ACTCGGGAGGCTGAGGCAGAAGGATCACTTGAGCCCAGGAGTTTGAGGTTGCTGTGAGCTAGGCTGACACCACGGCACTCACTGTAGCCCGGGGAAAAGATTGAGACTCTGTCTCAAAAAAAAAAAAAACCAGAACTTTTAAATATATATTTCATTACAATAATGCAAGTTTCTTAATGAAAATTTGAAAAGTTTTTCAAGAGGAAAAAGTAGAAAAAGAAACCTAAACTCAAAATAATACATAAATGCAAAGCTTTGTTGTATTTTCTCTTTTTCGTTTTCTTCCCAGTGTGTGGCGGTTGTATTTTTACATAGTTGTGATCATACTGTTATTAAATTGTAGCATTTTTTATTTTTAGTTTTTTAAATTAAAAATGATTTGTGCTTACTATTTTAAAAATGCAAGTGATTTTGATGTGTAAGGAAGGTGAAAATGCCCCTCCATTCCTTAATTCCACTTTTTAGAAATAATCAGTCAACAGTTTTGTATATTTTTCCCAGCATGTCATAATATTTTGTCATTTTTTTTTTTTTTTTTACGAAGAAGTATATTGTGGACATAATCCTGTATCGATACAGATCTATGTGGAGCAGCACTGTCGAATACAAATATAATGTCAGCCACTTAATGTTATTTTTCTTTTTCTAGAGGTAACCACATTAAAAAGTAAAAAGAAGCAAGTAAACTTAATATATTTTATCTAAGCCATTATATCGAAAAGATTATCATTTAAACATGTAATCAATAATAAATATGAATGAGGTTAAATTTTTTTAAGTTTTTATAATAAGATCTCTTAAATCTGGCATATATTCTACACTTAAAGCATATCTCAATTCGGATGTGAAATTTTCTTTGGAAATACTTGATCTGTATTTAGAGTTTTAACAGAACTGACAGTAGAAAAAGTAGATTCATAAGCCCATTTTTTCTTAAGTTTTCTAGTAACTGAATTTAAATTTCAGTTAATTGAAATAAAGAAAACAAAATCACTTTCTCATTTGCACTGACCCCATTTCAAGTGCTCAATAGCTGCCATTGGCTAGTGGCTACAGGAGCAGATTTAGATTATGCTTTTTATTAGTTGAATATTTTGTATGATAATGTTTATTAAGTACTTACGATATTGTTGGCTACTGCTAATCATGCATCATGTATTGTCTTTATTAATCCCCACCATGACCCTATAAGATATTATCCCAAATGTACAGAAGAAATAGACACTTAGAGAAGTTGGGTAATTTGCCCAACTTTGCACAGGTATTAAAAAGCATAACTAGGCTAAGCATGGTGGCTCATGCCTGTAATCCCAGCACTTTGGGAGACCTAGGTGGCAGGATTGAGTGAAGCCAGGATAATATAGCCAGGGGTGAGGCCATAACCCAGGAGTGAGGCCTGGGTAACATAGCTGGACCCTGTCTCTACAAAAAATAAGAAAAAATCAGCTGGGCATGGTAGCACATGCCTGTAGCTCCAGCTACTCATGGTGGGAGGATGGGAGCTGGGTGGATGGCTTGAGCCCAGGAGCTGGAGGTTACAGTGAGATTACACTGCTGCACTCCAGCCTGGGTGACAGCGAGACCCCATTTCTATAAATAAATGAATGAATGGATAAGCAAGTAAGTAAGTATTGAACCTAGGTATTTGACATGAAAAACCATGCTCTTAACCTGCTCTCTAATCTATCTCTGTTAGGGTTTATTTAATCATTGACTTACTAATAAATATTTTGATTATTGTTAATTTTTGGTAATTGCAAACCATCCTTCAGTGACCATCTTTGTGAGCATACCTAGATATTTGTTTAAATAATAAAGAATTCAATGAGAAGACACATTTTAAATATATTTTCAAAATATGCTACAAGAAGATTATATTTCTAATAGAATATATCAGATTCTGTATTTCTTAACACCCTCACCAACACTAAGTATGATATTATCAATCTTTTTCATTTCTTCTGGTATAATTGGGAAAACTGTCTCTTAGCTGCACTTCTTTGATTGTTAATGGGTTGGTACATCTATTCACGTTTGATCATTTGTGGCTTTTTTTAATTGATCATTTGTTCATTGAACTCTCTTCATAAGCACAATGCTTAGGAACATAATAATGCCTCGTATGTTAATACTGCATTGTGTGGATTTACTGTAAGTTTCTGTTCCCTTATGTGGACATGCTACTTATTTCTACTTTTCTTTCATATTATAAATAATACTGCAGTGTACATCTTTGTCTTTTTTGGTGCATATTTTATATTATTCCTTAAAATAAATTCCTTTTAGTGGAATTAATGGGTCAAGGCAGTGAATAATTTGAGACTCTTAATGCAGAATGACAAATTTATTTTCAAAGGGCTGGTCCAGTTTACTATCCATCCATTGTTTGGGAGCAATAGTATTTACTTTTTTAACACTTTTATCAAAATATAACAATACAGAAAAGTACACGTCCCCTAAGTATTCAGCTTAATGAATTTATAAACTGAGCACAGCCGTCTGAGCAGCATCCAAGAGCATCGCAGAGCGTTAGAGCACCCCCGGAAGCCTGCCTGTGCTCTGTTGCAGTCACACCTCCAGCCCTTGCTGCCCTGACTGCTGGCAGCAAAGACACATTCTACATAGAATGTTCACAGGCTGACAAGTCACTTTTCTCACATATTTGTGTTGATATTTTTATTATGCAAGTAATGTGTTGATACTATTATAAAATGCATTGAGTGTATTTTTAAAAGCGTGTATTATCCCCCTAGTGAACATTTCAGATGTTGGTCTGCATGGTTTTTAGTTTATATTAAATAAATGGGATTGTTTGATTGAATCAGAATGTCATCTTTAACTGGTAATCAGGAAAGGAATCCTGCAGTCCAGGATTAGCATAATGGCCAGTCCCTCTTTCTGAGACTTCTAGAATTGGTGTAGACCATGGCCAGTCTCTCTTTCTGAGGCTTCTAGAATTGGTGTAGACCATGGCCAGTCTCTCTTTCTGAGGCTTCTAGAATTTGTGTAGACCAGAACTCCTCAAATTTCGGTTGTAAGACTCAGGGGGATTTGTTAATATGCACCATCAAGAGTCTGACTTAGTAGGTCTGGATGGAGCCTAGGGAACTGCGCTTTTTTTGAGACAGGGTCTCCCTTTGTCACATGGAGTGCAATGGCATGATTGTAGCTCATTGTAGCTCACTATAACTTCACATTCCTGGGCTCAGGTGATCCTCCTGCCTCAGCCTTCTAAGTAGCTGGGACTACAGGTGTGTCCCACCATGCCTGGCTAATTTTTGTATTTTTTGTTGAGACAGGGTCTCGCTGTGTTGCCCAGGCTGGTCTTTAACTCCTGGCCTCAAATGATCTACTACTTGGCCTCCCAAAGCGCTGAGATCATAGAATGAGCTGTTGCACGCCGCTGGAGCTGCATTTTCTAAAAATTTTTTTTTCATATTTTCAAAATTTATTTTTTATTGATACTTAATAGATGTACCTACTTTCAGGATTCATGTGATATTTTGATACATGTGTACAATGTGTAATGATCAAATCAAGGTAATTGGGATATCCATCACCTGAAACATTTCTCTTTATGCTGGGAATATTTAAATTATTTTCTTCTATTTTGAAACATGCAATCTATTGTTAACTATAGTCACCCTACTGATCTGTTGAACACTGGGTCTTATTTTCTTCTAACTGTATTTTTGTACACTTTAATCAACTTATGTTCAACCTCACTCCAACACTCTTCCCAGCCTCAGGTAGCCACCTGTCTGTTCTCACCTTTATGAAATCCACTTTTTAAGCTCCCATATATGAGTGAGAATGTGCAATATTTGTCTTTCTATACCTGGCTTATTTCACTTAACATAATCACCTTAGAGGGAACTGCATGACTCAGGTGAATGACTCAGGTAAATCACTATGATGTGAGCTCCACGCGTGCAGGGGCCTAATTTATATCCTCCACTGCTATATGCCTGACACATATTAGACATCAGTGTATATTTGCTAAATGAGTAAATGAGTGCTTTGAAAGTTGAAGCAAGGTGGTTATTATTCAGACTTACCACAGCAGGAATTATAAAAGCTATGGCACTGTCTGATCTACTGTTTACTTGTCATGGGGCTTGGAAGAAGTTTCTAAAAGTCTCATACCTTAACATGTACATGTATAAAATTGTCTACTTGCCAACAGAAAATTATACAGTATTTTGACATCTTTTTTTGTTGTTGTTTTAGAAAATTGTATTGTAGTCATCATGTACTTAGTTCAAATCATTTTATAGTATATTGGATTATGGTTAAATATGATAAAATTGTTCATATTCAATAAAGTGTTTTGCTTTAGATTAAGTAATGAATCTATTCATTTTTCTTTCCATACAAAATGATTTTATATATCACTCTAGAAATTGTGGTATTAGAAATGGTTTATACTTGGCGTGAATCCAGCTCAGAAATGAGTGACCTGTTGTACCAGTACTTGAAAGTATTAATGGTAAATATACTTTGTACTAAAGTGTATAGTTTTTTACATATGTTTGTTTTTGTTTTGTTTGAGACAGTCTCAATCTTGTCACACAAGCTGTTATGGAGTGGTATCATCATAGTTCACGGCAACCTCAAACTCTTGGGTTCAAGCAATTCTTGTGCCTCAGCCTCCCGAGAGTAGCTGGGACCACAGGCGCATGCCACCACGCCTGGCTAATTTTTCTTATTTTTTGTAGAGACAGGATTTCGCTCTTGCTCAGGCTGGTTTGAATTCTTGAGCTCAAGCGATCCTCCTGCCTTGGCCTCTCAGAGTGCTAGGATTACAGCCATCAGCCACCATGCCCAGCTGACATAAATGTTTTATAAAAGGATGCTAGCCCTTGAGCACATACTTTTATGTTTGTACCTCATTTATTAGCTATGTCACTTTCAGAAAGTGTCACAGTCTCTCTGGACCTACATCTCCTCAACTTTAACATGGAATTAAAATTACCTTCACAGAGTCGTTGCAAAAATTGAGTGATAACTGTCTGTAGGTGTTTAGCACTGTGTCTGGCCTATGATAGGTACCCAGTAAATGTTAGTTCCCTTCCTCTTTTCTTCTATTTAAATTTAGCATCCACGTTACCTCTTTTTAAGGGAATGTCTTTTTATTGCCTTTATTTTTGAATGAAAACAAAAGCCAAAGAAGTCTGTCTTTTTTGTTCAAAAGAAAGTATTAATAAATTATGTGTATTTTGCTGGTGTGTGAAATACTAACCATGATTTTGTTTAAGGATATTTTTCATTTGTTATCCCGTCTTCTGTCTCATTAGGACATGAAAGATCAGATGTCAACTTCATCTGTACAGGCCTTAGCTGAAAGAAAAAATAGACAGGTGAGAAAACATCAGAATATAAGTATCAATAAAAAAAAAATACATGGTTAGATATTTGGAATTTAAAAATGCTGACCATCCATGGATCAAGTAACCAAGCAGAAGACCTTTTCATGGCCCTGGAGTGACACTGGGGGACTTTTTGTGAAAGTCCAGGCAGCCTCCCCCAGCGTTACTATCAACTTTTCCCTCTCCTTCCCCCTCTGGTCCTCTCCTCTGGGCTCCCATAGCACCTTCTGCTTAGCCTTGTTATAAACTTACCACAGAGTACTTTATTCATGTGTTTATTCTGCACCTGTTGAGCACATTCTGTGTACCAGGCTCTCTGCCAAAGGCTGTAATTACTTATTGTCTTTTTCTCTGCTGGACCCCAGGCTCCTTGAGAATGAGGAGGGATTTGTGTCTTTTTTTTTTTTTTTTTTTTAAATCTCTAGCAGTTATTACATTGCCTACCCATAGAACTCACTAGACATTTAAGAATTGAAATTTGTTGGAAAGACATTTGAGGAGCCTTAACGTGTATTAAATTAAATCTCTGTTTCAAGTATTTTTTTAAAAATTACACACTTCAGTGTATGATAGAAACTCCTTTCTAATTGTTAAAATACAGTCCTTTTAAAAAATAATGGTCATCTAGAAATTAGACTTGAATTTAAATTGGGATTTGATTTGGATTCTTTTGGTGGGGTAGAATATTTTTTGCCTGTTGCTAAACTGTTAGATGATTTTTTTTTTGACAAAAGTAGTTTTCTTAAATTCTCTGGATATCCATTTTGCTTAGGAGTAAGAAAGACTTTATGAAAAATGATAATATTTGCTTTAGATGACTTATCTTAACATCATTTTATTTAGATTCCAGAAGGTTACCAATAGTCTATTTAGTAGCATCTTAAGAAATCAGCTCACTATTTTTACTAACTAGCAATCAGTACTTTATAACATAAATCCTTTATACCAGTGAATGTTGAGCCACTTAATTTTGAAAACAAGTAGTATAAGAGATTAAGGAATGGGAGGATTCTATAAATATTACCTTATTTTTTCTGTTTTTTCCCCTGCATTTAATGTTTCAAGTCATTGTTTTATGTTTTTTTCCTTCTTATCTATCCACCTTGCTCTTTTTTTGAACAGTACAGCTAGGAAAAGCCATTAGCTAGTCCAGTTCATCTGGCTCTAACTCTTCAAAGAAGCTAGTGTGTGGCCTCAATCTGACTAGTTCAGAGTTCCCTTTTCATTTGTACTTGAGTGTGTAGAAAGTTGAGTGACAGTGCCTTAGGTGACAGTGAAGTGGGTAACACCTATCCTCTGTTACTCTTAATTTGAATGTTTTATTCTCTAATAGTACAGTTATGCTAATGTAAATAAAATGTGTATTTATACAGTGCCTGTCCAAATATGGCTTAGAATTTTGTTTTAGGCCATGAGTGAAATGTTGTTCAGTCACAGATTTTCAAGGAATAGCAGGGCCAGGGTTCTCCAAGCATTCAAGTGGGCAGGTACCAGGTGTTTTGCTGCTCCCTGCCTCCCACATGCCTCCTATTGCGGCACCCACGTACAGGTGCATCTTCCAGTGTGAGGTGGGGGCGGGGGTCTTTCCATCTCTTTCCCATTATTACAGACTCCTGGGGGTCAGATTGATGAATTCTAAGCTAATTCACAATAAAACTTACATGACTTGTTCCACCTAAGTGTAGACCGTAGAAAACGTAAGAATAATAGCCTTGATTTGGACCGCAGGAGTATCCAAGGCCCTGATGATGCCCCAGTTCTCTGTCCTTAACCTCACCATGCACTGTAGCCTTTTTCTGACTTGAAAAAAATTGTCAGTAGGCCCCAGTGTCCTTCATAGAGGTCCTTAGAGTCTTTGGATCAGAAGGAGCAGGATGTTTTCAGTTTCGACAGCCTTAAGATGAGGTCAGGGCAGAGCCACCCACAAAAAGCCTTGGGTCTTCTTTACACCAGAGGTACCCACCACCCAGCCTCTCGACTGGACTGAAGCCCTGGGCCACTGGAGCTCTCTTAAGAAGAACTTTTAATAACCGAGCTGCTTAGAAGCTCTTCTGGTAACTGCCTCAGAACTTAGTGCTCTGCATCCCGAGCTTCCCTGATGATCCTAGTCCCTGAAGTCTGGCCATTTGACAGAATTTACCTCTGAAAGTCAGGTGAGGGAAGTCAGTGTCTGGAAGAAGGGCCTGGGGCTGTTGGAAGAGCTTTCAGATGGAGAACCAAGTAACCAATCAGGCTTTTAATAGTGCTAGAGATAAAAAGTACCTGGTAAGAAGATTGGGTAGCTTTACAAGGGAAAAGAATCTTAGTTTCTAGCATCTTCTGCTTCTTGGTGCAGGGCTGGTGTGAACAATTACTTTGACCCAAGGCTTGTGGGGATCTGGTCAGAACAGTTGCTAAGGTTGAACACTCACATTCCTGTCTGGCTTCCTCATCTTAAAGGAAGACATACTCATACTTACCCATTTCTGGCTACAAACTTTCTTGACTTCACACTTGGGAAACCTGACCCTGGTGTCTGGGAGCCCTGGTGGAGAACTCAGACTAAGGGCCGCACTTGCTTAGGTTGTCAGGGTCAGGCATTCCTTGTGGTCATACCTGCTTGGTGAGGTAACCCCCAGTTATCATCTAGGAAGGGCATTGGGTTTTATTCATGGGTAAAACTTGACAGACATTGATGGTTCTTGTGCCTTCTGTGTGTGAGGGGTTATGACTTACCTCTTATCATCCCAGGGAACTCTACCCTTTCTCCCCAAAAAGCCAGAACTTCCCTGGGTCTTACTTTAGGGCAGGGAGTGGGGGGGAAGGAACTGTAGATCTCTGGAATCAGTTTAATTAGTACCTATGGGTCTCTTGTGAACTTCCACAAATGCTAGGAAGAGCTCTTCTACAAGAGACTGAATGTTTTTTGAATTGTAATGCAGTATACAAATGGGTATTTGTTGATTTAGCATAGAAATTTATTTGCATTTTAACGGGACAAAGCCCATTTGTGAGGCCCACTGGAAGAGCTTAAAGACAGATAAGGCCCTTCCTGGCATTCCTTAAATTGTGCCACACAGGCACCAACCTACACCACTACATAAAAACCTGGCTGGCCCAGGGGAAAAATCGATTATGAGAAATGTGAGAACTCTTTAGATCATTTTCGATGTATCACTTGTTCAGAAATAGTAAATATTTGTTTCTCCTGCCTCGGGTTATCAAAATCCTGCTCACACAGGCACTGTTGGGAGACAGCGGCAGCCAGAACTGGAACACTGGAACAAGTGATAAATATGGGCGCCTGGATCGAGAGCTCCAGTTAGCCAATTCCCATTTCATCGAGGAGCAGCAAGCACAGCAACAGGTACCCGAGAACCAGTCAGCTGAGGACGGGGTGGTGGGAGGCAGGGAACCTCCCGTACTTCCTATGCCAACCATGGGCTCTTGTTGCTTAATGATAAGCTGGTTAAAACAGAGCTCATCCTACAGTTGACTGTTACTGAATATGTAATAATTGCATGTGTAAAGGTTTTTAAAATCCTCAGAGCATGACTGCTTCAAGACAACCAAGCTCAATTAGGTCTCTCAGGAAAAGCAGACCGGATATCTAAAACCGACATACAAGGCCGTTGGTTTTTCAAAAAGAAAATAAAACCTCTTCCCCAGCCTCCGTTTGTGTACTCAGTTTTTTGTTCATTTCAGCAAAGGCACTTTCAGAAATAATCTCTTGTTTTTTCATTGAAAATTATTGATTGGTTCCATTATATATAAAAATGACTGCTTTGGTGGAGGTTATGGGATAGCAGGAAAGTGAAGTTGATTATGTTTGTGTTGTTTTTGATGTGTAGCTGTATTACTAAAAGGAAACTAATGATGATGTAGCTGGGGATTGGAGGATCATCAATGCATTGAAACTGTTGGTTCTTAAATATCATGTTTATGTATACATGTAGGTTGTGTGTTCTTTTGTTCTTCTTTCATTGGCATGTCTGCTTAACCAGCTGCCTACTTAAATTGCTGTTAAACCAAGCAACTTTTTTCTGTAAAAAGTAAGGAGGATGCAACCTAATTAAAAGTAAATATTTGTCAGTGAGTAGTTGTCCTTGAGGTAACATACTGCCACAGGGCCTCCTCTGGTTTGTCCTTGAGGAGGGAGGGAGAGACTGTGTGCATAGTTTTCCCACATCCAGAGATTTGCCAGACTCTCTTGCATTTAAGCTGTGGCAGTCTGGTGTGAATTGAGACCTTGATCTTGGCAGTAGGCATCCTCCTCTCAGACATCCCCCATGTCTCAGTGGTCATCTGTACATGTGCTTTCGGCCATTGTCTGTTCCCTTACTGGACTTCAGCCAACCAGAGTAAATCTCTCCTGATGGTTTCAAGCCCCGCTGACTGTTCACAAGTTGGATCAGCAGGAGATATCAGTGGCTTGACAATCCAGCCTTTTGAGCAGTGTGTTCTCTCAGAGGCGACGGTCTGGTCCTTTGATTTCTGGGCTTTGCTTCTGAATGTGAATTGTCCCAAGTTGGCAAAGAAACTAGCAGCTGCTAGAGTGCTAGGCTTGGAACCAGGTAAGATGGATTTTAATTGCTTATTTCCCATTTCTCTGGCACCAGTTGATCGTGGAACAGCAGGATGAGCAGTTGGAGCTGGTCTCTGGCAGCATCGGGGTGCTGAAGAACATGTCCCAGCGCATCGGAGGGGAGCTGGAGGAGCAGGCAGTGTGAGTATTGAGATGCCCCTCTCGCCACAGTGAAATTGAGGGGAAAAGCCATCCTATGAGACCGCTGAAAGTCCTGGCAGTTACATGGCTGGTAAACCAAAGCTGTTTTGCTTATAACTGCATTTTTATTCTGTTTTACCATAGCCTCCCCCAAAGAAACAAATCTATTTAATAAAATTTACAGTAGGATTTAGGTAAAGTTATTATTTTTAAATGCTTTGACAGATAAAAATTCTTCTGAGCAGGTACTTGAAATATAGTCATGAATAAGAATGTGAACCCGAGAAGGCTCTGTAACCTCTGGAGATTTTCGTTCCAAAGAGAACAGGACATAAGCTAATTTGACTTTATCATCCTATGACTCTGCCGCTACATTGAACAAAACTTTTTGCTTTGCATCTTAAATTGTAACGTTGTTAAATACACACACACACACACACACACACACACATATGTAAAAACTCCCATTAACAAAAAAAATCTTCCCTCAAGAAACAAATAAAAACAAGAAAACATAACTTGGGTTTGTTTATTTTTCCTTAAGAACAGTCTCTTCTGCACTCTGAACTATGATAGCAAAAACAGCATTCTTAAACACTGCCATACAATACCTTTACCATTTTACAAATATTTTTCTGAAGAAAAATAAGATGATTGATTCATCATATTTCAGAAACTTTCCTGTGTCAGCCTTATGTTTATTGTTATACATTCATTCATTATAAATTATTATTGGGCACCTGTTCTACACCAGGCCCTCTGGGAGACCCTGGGGATATAGGAGCAAACAGAATAGACACTGTCTCTGCCATTCGGAGAGTTCCCCAGTTACTGGGTGGAACCGATGTTATATAAATGGCAGCAGGTCATCAAGTTGTGGCAGTGAAGTGGGAGGGCCATTGCGACTGGGCAAGTGCATGCTGCCTGGAGAGCCCTAACTTAGTCTAGGGTCTCAGAGAAAGAGGAGTTTAACTGAAACCTGAAGGATATGTAGACAGTAGCCAGGTGAGGTGGGAGTCGGGGTGGGGACAGGTGGGGGGGAGGTGTGCCGGGAGGAAGAATGTGCACCTGTGAAAGTGCTTGGAGCGGAGAGGTTCCATGCGTCTAGAGGCATAGAGCAGACCAGGGCAGGCCTTATCAGCATGGTAAGGAGGTAGGACTTTTTTTTCTGAGCATGGTGGGACACTGGTAAAGCATGATGGGTGACTGTTAGGAGTGATGGCATGATCAGGTGTTAGAAAGGCCCATCTGTCTGATTTAGATGATATACTGGAATGGAGCCAAGCAGGAAGCTGGAATAGCAGGAATCTAGGCACACATGCCTAATTTCGATCTAAAATGGGTCAGAACCCAGTTTAGTTTCAGTTTGGGGTGGGAAGGGACTAGTAGCCTGAGCCTCTCTGTTGATGAGGCAGCCTCATGGGTAGTCGATAACAGAGTCTGAAAACTTCCAGTTAGTGATGGTGAATTGAATACACCTGTATCTCTGCTCCCTCTCCAAAGCCCACAAGAACAATAATAAAGGGTTTTTTTGTTTTTGTTTTTGTTTTTTTTTTAAAAAGGCATAAAACCTATGGGGACATAGGGCATGGAATAATAAAGAATAGCTGTAACATTTTAGATCCTGGAAAATGGTTAGATCACTGGTTACAGACTCAACAGACCAAAAAAAGCTGAATCCTAAGCTGCCAGAAGGGAAAACCAAGAAGCAATGTGATGCACACCGCAAAACTCCTCTGCTGTGAATAGCATTTATTCAGTCACAGTAATGTAAATAATAATGATCTAATCCAATTATGGCACAGTTATGTCAGAGGGAAAGAGGAAGGGAAGTGGGAAGGATGCAGAGGTGAGGAATAAAGTGGGACCAGCTAAATCCTACTCTTTTCGTAGTGCTGAGCTAGTCCTGAGGCACAAGCGCATTGCTTCCAAAAATGTAGAAAGTACCAAGACGATAGCATGAGGAGTTGGAAGCCCTTGCCCTTCAAGGAAACAGCGAACAACTGTGGCTTTTCGTAAAAAGCCTTGTAGGACTATTTGTCTCTTTAAACTGGGTATGTGTATAACTCTGATAAAAATAAAAATTAAAAAGGAAAAACATGAGTCTTGGACCTGTGCTGTCCAGTATAATAGCCACTAGCCACACGTGGCTATTGAGTCAGTGAAATGTGGCCAGCTGGAATTGAAATGTGCTGCAAGTGTGAAGTGCACTCTGGACTTTGAAGACTTAGTATAGAAAAATGTAAAATCCCTAGAATTCCAAAACCAAAAAATCCAAAATCATATCTTATCCCAGGGATTTTGGATAATAGATTGGGGTTCTGAATCCCAATGTTGCCTATTTTATATTTGCTAAAACAGAAGCTTAGATCCTATTAATTCATGGCCAATGCATCGCCAAGTCTTTGCACTTAACCAGCTACCTTCTGTGTCTGCTTCTCTCTCTAGTATGTTGGATGATTTCTCTCATGAGTTGGAGAGTACTCAGTCTCGACTGGACAATGTGATGAAGAAACTTGCAAAAGTGTCTCACATGACCAGTGGTATGTATGGTGTTTGAAGCTTAAGAATTTGTACTTAGTTCTGGGCACTGTGTCGGCGGTGGGGTTCTCTCACAGCTGTGCCCATGCGGATCCCTTTCCTGTGGCATGTTTTTCTGTGGTGCTTTAGCATCAGAGCATGGAAAACTCAGGTGTATGGGCCTTCTGCTTGTAGCCTTGACTTGGGAAAAGATATTTGTGCTTCCCCCACTGTATTTGGTAGTTTTCCCCCAGTGGAGCAACTTTCTTTGCAATTACAAAAGCCTTTTTTTTATTATTTACTTCCTTGTCAGAATAGGAAACTTATTTAAGAGAGTAATTAAAACACCTAGTACTTCAGAATATGATAGCCTTGTAGATCTAATTTAAATTGTTATTTTTAAATCCATAATGAAATATATCTAGCAGATTGGGCCGGGCATGGTCGCTCATGCCTGTAATCCTAGCACTCTGGGAGACCAAGGCGGGAGGATCACTTGGGGTCAGGTGTTCAAGACCAGCCTGAGCTAGAATGAGACCCTGTCTCTACTAAAAATAGAAAAAATTAGCCAGGCAACTAAAAATAGAAAAAAGAAAAAAAAAATTAACCAGGTATGGTGGCGCATGCACGCCTGTAGTCCCAGCTACTTGGGAGGCTGAGGCAGGAGGATTGCTTGAGCCCAGCAGTTTGAGGTTGCTGTGAGCTAGGCTGATGCCATGGCAGTCTAGTCTAGTCCAACAAAACGAGACTCTGTCTCAAAAATATATATATATATATATATTTCCAGCAAATCTACACAAGGATGGGGATGAGAAAGTAACAATTTTCAAATCAGTTACTACATAAGATATGTTCCAATGACTCTTTTTTAAGCAAAATCATTTTTATTTATTTGTTTATTTTTAATTTCAGAGTATTATGGGGGTACAAACACTTTGGTTACATAAATTGTCTTTGCACTGCCCGAGTCAGAGCTACAAGCATGCCCATTCCCCAGGCAGCGTGCACCGCCTCCATTAGATGTGAATTTACCCATATCTTCCTCCCCCCTCCCACCTGCCCCTACACCCTATAAATCTTACTTCACATATGTGTACACTGGTGTTGATTGATTAGTACCAATTTAGTGGTGAGTGCATTTGGTGTTTGTTTTTCTATTCTCATGATACTTCATACTTAGAAGAATGGGCTCCAGCTCCATCCAAGATAATACAATAGGTGGTTCACCATTTTTTTTAACGGCTGAATAGTACTCCATGGTATACATATACCAGATTTTATTAATCCACTCATGGATTGATGAGCACTTGGCTTGTTTCCACTTCCTTGCAGTTGTCAATTGTGCTGCTACAAACATTGGAGTACAGATGTCTTTTTTATAGAATGTCTTTTTTTCCTTTGAGTAGATACCCAGTAGTTGGATTGCTGGATCAAATGGTAGTTCTCCTTTTAGTTCTCTGAGGTATCTCCATACTACTTTCCATAGAGGTTGTACTAGTTTGCAGTCCCACCAGCAGTGTGTGAGTGTTCCTATCTCTCACCATCCAGGCCAACATTTGTTGTTTTGTAAAAATGTAAAAGTATTTCTCACTGGAGTTAAGTGATATCTCATTGTGGTTTTGATTTGCATTTCCCTGATGAGTAGAGATGTTGAGCATTTTTTCATGTGTTTCTTGGCCGTAAGTCTGTCTTCTTTTGAAAAATTTCTGTTCATTTCTTTTGCCCACTTTTTAAGGGGTTGTTTGATTGTTTGATTACTACAACCCACCTCGCCTATTACATGGAAAATAATATTTTTAAAATCAAAGAAAATCCAATATCTCTTCTTTATGTAGTGGGGGTGGCTTGGTGGAAGGAGAAACTGAGATATTCTTCGAGGTAATTTGAATATTCTCTGAGACAGTAAACCATCTCCCACATTAGAACTTTCCTGTTTCTTGACACATCATTCTTTTATTGGTTTCTTATTGTCAAGTACATGTTATAAGGCCTAATAATAGATTAGTCTTTTAAGACACGATTTAAATACTTATGTGTGCTTACTTTTCAGAAGCTTAACTCATAGTCAAGTTACATTATGGTTCTCTGGGACTAAGTTTCTTATCTATAAAACTAGGTTGAGGCTGGGCGGGGTGGCTCACGCCTGTAATCCTAGCTCTCTGGGAGGCCGAGGCAGGCGGATTGTTTGAGCTCAGGAGTTCGAGACCAGCCTGAGCAAGAGTGAGACCCCGTCTCTACTAAAAATAGAAAGAAATTAATTGGATAACTAAAAATAATAGAAAAAATTAGCCAGGCATGGTGGCGCATGCCTCTAGTCCCAGCTACTTGGGAGGCTGAGGCAGGAGGATTGCTTGAGCCCAGGAGTTTGAGGTTGCTGTGAGCTAGGATGACGCCACGGCACTCTAGCCCAGGCAACAGAGTGAGACTCTGTCTCAAAAAAAAAAAAAAAAAAAAAAACAAACTAGGTTGATTCCTATCTCTCCAGGTCATTGTGAGGATTAAATGAAATAATTATAATGTTAAAGTATTCAACAGTGTCTACCATATATTAGTACTTAGTAAATGTTTTTTAAGAATTGTAAGGCAACAGATGGCCCCAAGGGGAAAAGGCCCAATTATATACAAAACAAAGGGAAGCTCATAGCTAGAGTTATTTTCTTCTTTCTCTCCAGGGGCAATTATCTTTGTGCTTCTAGCAGGCTCTTCATTGCCTGAAGCTGTGCATAGATAGGAAGCAGGCACCAGCTTAGTTCATCTATCACACACTCAGAGAAAGGTTTGCAGGCTTCTTTCTGATTCCCTCTGTTCTATGCGCTTCCACCCCACCCCTCTACTTTAAGAAAAAGGGGGGGGGCTTTAATGAAGTATTATATAACCAACTTAAACACCAGGCCTCTCTGTCTTATATGTAGTAGTCGCAAAGTCAAGTAGCTACTTCAGCACCAGTTTTGTTTGGGGAAGAGCAAGCGAACAAAGATGTACTGTGTCTTTGTTTCTCAGCATTCTGGGTATGAATAATTTAGAAAAGTACTTGCATTGTGATAAGCAGCTCAGTGTGTATATAAATAGCACTGAGGCTTGCTTATGCTTTATTCTACTTTCTCCCAAAAGGAAAGTTTGGAAAGCAAAGTATGAACTTTGGTTATATTTATATAAGAAAAAGAGTCAGGAAACAGAGCAGTTAGCCTGAATGGCACTTCATTTTTGACAGGTTGACTGTGTTTTCATTTTAATCTTTACTTGCTACCAAAAGAAATACTGCTAAGGACCTCCTCCTGCTTGGTGGTATCTGCTTCAATTTGATGACCAGGCAATTTGTAATTTGTCTGTGTTCTTCTCTGTACATTTTGCAAAAGTTCACTGCTTTTCAATCAAACCTGTATATAAAAAAGGAAGTGTATCAAGGCACACCAAAGTTTAAGTAGTAAAAAAACACACAGGTTCCACAGGTCTCGAAAGGCAGAACATCTGCCTCTTCACTTGGCTGGCTGCTTCATGGGCAGAATCCAGCTAAGACTCATTTACATTTTTGAATGACCAGAGAGAGACATTAATTGCATTATTTTCCTTCCCAGAGAAGTATACTTTTTTTGAGTAAATACAAAGTTTCTTTCCCCCTTACTTTCCAGCATTCGATTCATCTTTTCTCTTTAGGATAAGAAAATATTTAGAGAGAAAAAAAACTACTATTGGAGTTCCCTTTGTTCCCCTCTGACTTTTTGAGGCAAGTCCTGAGCTTGCAGAGCTGCTTCAAACTTTTCAGTGGAGGACACAGAAGCCCCTCTGGTCAGTACCTCTTCATTCTATGTGGGAACCCTTTTGGAGAAGTGCTGGGGAGAAGTCTGCTAGAGTAACAGCTCCCTGGAGTTACCCAGTTTGTGCTTCTAAGAAGCAACTTACCACTTCAAAGGAAATGGCTTTAAAGGAGCATTCTTAGGTTGTGCCAGCTTGTGTAATGTATGTCTCTCCTTGGTAAAAACCCCTATTTAAGGCAGTTGCAGAAGAGAGTGGTTGAAAGTGATAGGAGTCTTGGGTAGAGGCTGATGAGAAGCCAAAAAGTAGAAATCTGGTTCAGTATTGGGAATCTGGCATACCAAGAATGGTGAGATGCTTGGGGAGAGGGCATCCACACAGGAGTGGGTGTGAGGTTGAGGGAGGAGGCAGTGGGGAAGGAAGCAGTTACTTCTCTGTTTTTGTCCTGGAAGAGCATCAGCTAATCATTCTAATGAGAGTAGTTTTAAGTTATTGTAAGCATTTTTTCTTTCTTTTTTAATTATTAAACTTTACTTTTTAGAACAGTTTTAAGTTCACAGAAGAATTGAGTAGTAAATACAGAGAGTTCCCATATACCCCCCTCTCCCCCAACACATAACAACCTCCTCCGTTACCACATCCCACATCACAGTGTTATAGTCAGTGAACCTACACCGACACATCGTTAACCATCCTCAAAGTCCATAGTTTATATTAGGGTTCACTCTTTTTATTGATTAATAATACATGTACATATTTTCAGGGTACATGCAATAAGGGTTCACCTTGGTGCTATACATTCTGTGAGTTTTGATAAATGTATAATATTATAACATGTATCCACAATTATAGTATGCTACGGAATAGTTTCACTGCCCTAAAAATCCTCTGTGCTCCTATTCAGCCCTCCCTCCCTGTAAGCCCCTGGCAACCACTCATCCTTTTACTGTCTCCATAATTTTGCCTTTTCAGCCGTACATATAGTTGAGATTGTATAGTACGGAGCCTTCTCAGATTGGCTTCTCTCAGTAATGTCTAAGTTTCCTCTATGCTTTTTCATGGCTTGATAGCTCATTTCTCTGTTAGCACTGAATATTCCATTGTCTGGATGTACCATAGTTTATCCATTCACCTACTAAAGCACATCCTAGTTGCTTCTAAGTTTTGGCAATTATGAATAAAGCTACTGTAAACATCCATGTGCAGATTTTTATGTGGACATAAGTTTTTAGTTTGTTTGGGTAAGTAATAAGGAGTGCAGTTGCTGGATGGCAATGGTAAGAGTATGTTTAGTTTTGTAGGGAACTGCCAAACCATCTTCCAGAGTGGCTATACCATTCTGCATTTCCAACATGTCCTGTTGCTCCACATCATTGTCAGCATTTGATGTTGTCACTGTTTGGGGTTTGTGCCATTCTAAATAGATGTGTAGTATATCTCATTGTTTTCATTTGTATTTCCCTAATGACATCTGATGTTTGACATCTTTTCGTACGCTTACTGGCTATGTCTCTTTTTGAGATGTCTGTTCAGGTCTTTTGCCCATTTTTTAATTGGGTTGTTTTCTTATTGGTGAATTTTAGGAGTTCTTTTGTATATTCTGGATAACAGTCCTTTATTACATGTGTCTTTTGCAAATATTTTATCCCAGTCTGTGGCTTATCTTTAGCAGAAGTTTCAAATTTTAATGAAGTCCCAATTTTAATTATTTCTTTCATATGTAGTGTCGTTGGTGTTGTATCTAAAAAGTCATTGCCATACCCAAGGTCATCTAGGTTTTTTCTCCTGTTATCTTCTAGAAGTTTTATAGTTTTTACATTTTACATTTACATTTTACATTTAGTTCTATGATCTATGTTGAGTGAATTTTTGTGAAGGGTGTAAGATCTATGTCTAGATTCTTTTTTTTTGCATGCGGGTGCAACACATGCAAAAACATGCAGTTGTTTCAACACCATTTTGCTGAAAAGACTGTCTTTGTTGTATTGCCTTTGCTGCTTTGTCAAAGATCAGTTGACTGTATTTATGTGGGCTTATTTCTGGGCTGTCTGTTACATTGATCTATTTGTCTATGCCATTAATTCCACACTGTCTTGATTAATGTTATAGTAAGTCTTATACCACAGTTCTTGGATACTCTGTACCTTTTTTTTTTTTTTTTGGCCATCAAGTGGGGGGAGGTGTCTTTTTTTCTCTTTGCTTTCCAGTTTTGGTGGTTCTATTCATACATCCTAAAGTTCAGAGACTCTTTCCTCAGCCATGTCCAATGTACTAATGAGCCCATCAAAGGCATTCTTCATTCTTGTTATAGTGTTTTTGATCTCAGTAGCATTTCTTTTTGATTCTTTCCTAGAATTTCCATCTTTCTGCTTACATTATCCATGTGTTCTTGCATCTTGTCTACTTTTTCCATTAAAGCCCGCAGCATATTAATCATAGTTTTTAAAAAAAATTGCTCATCTGATAATTTCAACATTCCTGCCACTTCTCTGGTTCTGATGTTTGTTCAGTCTCTTCATACTGTTGTTTTTTGCCTTTTAGTTTTTCATCGAAAGGTAAACGTGCTATACTGGGTAAAAGGAACTGTGGTAAACAGACCTTTAGTAATGTGGTGGTGAAGTGAGCTGGGGGCATGCAGCAGTCTCATGACTGGGTCTCCGCCTTTTGGTGAGCCTGTGCCCTGGACTGTGAACCTCACCAGTGCCGCCCAGTGTCTCCACCCTTAGGTGGAACAGGGTGGTTAGAGTGTCGGTATTTATTTCCCTTCCGCCAGGTCAGTTAGGCCCCGATAAAGACTCCAGCAGGTTAGATAAGTTTCTCCTGAGGGTGGACTTCTTCAAGAGCAACAGAGTGTTCTGGCATATTTCACAATGTTTTTTCCCCCTCCACCTGCTGGAAGCATGAGGGGATTTGTCTCCTGGTCGAGTTCCTGGAGGTAAAACTCACCAAAATGTGAGGGGCCCCTTTTGACTAGGTCCCCCTGGAGTTTTTTTTAATCTCAGACTTGTCTACACTGAGCCTTCAGTGGCTCATCAATTGTAGTGGGGTTTCCCTGCCATGGCGCTGGTTCCCTGGGTTTCTGCTCTGGTAAGTTGTGGTTCTCTGTGTTTGCCTGTAGGTATCTCCAACTTTAGGGGTAGCAATTTCTCCTGTGACCTCACTTCTCTGATGGATCTAAGAAGGGTTGCTTTTTCAGTTTGTTCAGCTTTTTACCTGTTGTTAGAACAGAGTGGCGACTTCTAAGCTCTTTACATGCCAGAAATTGGAGCTCTAACATTTTTAAATAGATTTTAAAAATGCTGGATATTCTAAGTTTTATTGACCATTGAAGTAATTATCAAACAGGTTAAAAGTGTTTAGTAGGCCAACTCTGCCTCCCCAAGCCCTTCGGAATAGTCCTACTTCAGAAGAGGAATGAATAGACTTGGGGTCTTTGTCCTAACCAATTATTCATTATCAAATGAGTTTCTGGCATGTCTGAGGTAGACCAAGCTGATCAACATTTAGGACATACTTGCTTTACTTAGTGGAGAGTTTTGCAATCTATTTTTCTAGAATCAAATCTTTTTAGAATGTGATTCTCAATAGCTTTCAAATGAACTTTAATGAATCAGTATATCTTTATATTTCTACTTAAATGGAACTCATTCCTAGTAGTTGAGAACTGCATTTTCATAGGCTAGTGAATTCTTTTATTAGTCTGGCCTTTTGTGGAATGTGCCAGGACTCATCTATGGAAAGACTGCTTGGTCTTTCTGCATCTCCCCAAATTAAGGAAGCATCCTGATGTTGACAACATCCTCCATGCATCAAGCTTGGGCACTGCACAGTGTGTGTATGATGGTGTTCTTGTTGTTTTATTCTCACAACAGCCCTGCGAGGCAGCCGTTGTAGAGTTATAGGACTACAAGATTGTGAGCTGGAGCACGGTTCTTCCTGGGGCCTTTCTGGGTCTTTCTATCCCACAGCCTCTCCCTGCTCTCAACCATTTGGATGGACTCTAGCCACTTTTTGCCTGTTCTAAATTGTTTTTAGGGTAGAAAGTTTCAGAAAAGACATTCAGCTTTCATTTACAGGTAAGCTGTATAAATTAACACAGTTACTGGTTAAGTAATCTTCTTGTTTGACTAGGTGTGGTGTGAAATTAATCATGCTCTCTCACTGGAGCTTGCTTTTTCAGCTATTTATTCCTGAAGTGACCAGCAGTAGCTTTCATCTCAAACTTTCCCTCCTCCCATTGTGCTCTTTGAGGAAAAACGTGATGATTGTTGAATTAAATGACTTGACTTTGGTGGGAGATTAAAGCAGACAGACTTTGATCTATAATACCAACGCCAACAACTTTTTCAGGGATAAGCTAATCACCAGTAGAAAGCAAAGATCCACATATTTTAATTAAAGGCCTGAGACACAAAGCACGTACTTACCACAAGGCACATTTCCAGGGCACTGGCAAAGCTGTGAATGCACGTGAAGTGCAGAGCAGCAGTAGAGTAGCAGCCACCTGGGCAGGTTCAAGATCCTCTCTGCCCCCATCATTTGCACGTTCTGTCCCTTTTCTGCTTCAGAGGTATTGTCTTAAATTCCATGTAACTGTATCCTGGGGAAAGTGGAATCCCTGAGAGAGCTAATCCTCGTGTCCTGCCTTCCAGATCGGCGCCAGTGGTGTGCCATAGCCATCCTCTTTGTGGTCCTGTTGATCGTGCTGATCCTCTTCTTAGTGCTGTGATGGTGTGGCCTGAGGGTGCAAGTTCCTCCTGCACGTGAACCAAGGGGAGGAGGAGAAGCGAGCACATGCGCCGTTGCTGTCTACTCACATTCCTCTCCTGGAAACATATCGCTGCACTGACTTTTCTCTGTGTGACCCCACAATTGAGACAGCTCCTCCATCCCAGCGCTGGAAGGGCCAGTGGGAAGAGAAATACGACTGCACTCCCGGTGCCGGCTGGACGACAAATGCCCTGTGCTGCCTGTCCTGTTCTGAGGACAACTGGCCACTGCTTTGCCTCCGTGGACCTTGTTCCCTGAGGAAGGACTCTGAATAATCCAGAAAAATTAGCAGATTCCACTAGTGTTTGCTGTTGCTCATTCCATGCATTCTTGGCAGCTCTTTTCTTCTGCTCAGACCCTTCCCCTGCTCAGACAGTGCACTGCTGTCCCATCAAAAGAAACCTGTCGGGAATGTGAGCTTCTGGGTATGTTTCGTTTCCCATTGCTGTAGCATTTCTAAGCCCCTGAGAGCTGATTATTATTGAGGACAGAGGCTCAGAAACAGTTTGTGACAGAAAATACAGTGTTTCATTTTTCAGGGATAAATGATGATATAAAATTGCCTTTGCAGGTGCATTTCTTTGTGGTAGGATAACTAATGGAAAGTAATGGAACACCTTGGGGTTTGGGTGGCTTTAATTGACGGGAGCAGTTAAAAAAAGCAGCAGGACCCTGCACTGGCACACCTTAGGGAAAGGCTGATGATGTCGCCAGAGGTCAGAGCCTGAACCTTGCCAACTTCATGTTGCTATACCAGTGCTTCCTCCTCAAGGTGCAAATAGCATTTTTAGGGTGACTCCTACATATGTTGTTGCTAAATAGCTCAGCAGCACACTTGAATGAATTAGGATACTGGGTTATCCTCATTGATAGTTATTTTATTCCTATGGCACTCTACTTTGGGGGGATGGGGTTGGGAATGGATAGCACATTTATTACATCTACTCAGAAACAGTAATGACCAAAAAAAGGCTAGTTCTGGACCAGACTTCTCTTACCCTGCGTGTAATGGCGAGGATGGGTAGGTGAACTTGGTTCTTCCTCCCTAAGGTGACAACTTGATTTTATCATCTATTCAAATAACTGAGCCAATCCAAATTTAAATGATAGTTGCTTTAATTGAGCATAAGTAGCTGAAACTGCTGAAACACTAAACTTCAAGCTTTGATGACTTTTTAAATGCCTCAGATGTATACATGTGTATAGGATATTTTTATAACTTCCCTGATGAATAATCTGATACTAAAGTAGCATTCGGACCCAGAGCCAGAACTCAGCAGTGGAGGCTGCTAGTCTCTCCTCAGCATCTTCTCTTGCACTTGGAAAGAACAACAACACCTGGATAGAGTTCTAGCTTTGACTTCTCATTTCCTTGTCTTTTTGGGTGCATTCCTCCACGCATTAACTTTTTTTTTTAACCTTTCTTCCCCCGTGTTTTGTTCGTATTTCTTGTGGTTTTGTTTTGGGGTTTTGGTTTTTTCCCCCCCATTTTTTGTGATTTACAATGACTTGCTTGCCCAGCTAACTTTTGAATTGCACTTTTTAATAAATATTTGTAACAATTTTTTTAAAGAAGGATATTTTATCTCCTTTGGGATCATGGTAGGTAGGGAAATCTGCCTGTTGATGGAAGCTAAAAGCAAATTTATGAAACTAAAAGGGTGGTTGACATCCATGTTTACACTCAGCTCTAATGTTTGATATATAAATAAGTTATTTCTTTTCAAATTAGGAAAAAAGTGAATATTACAAAGGGCTTCCGGTATAGGATACTAGGTTATTTATGTTTTACAAAGTTTTAAGACTTAAATAATCTTCTATAAGCTTAGAATGGGGGTGGTCCTTAGATTTGCATTAAAATGTAGACATCTTAAAAATCTGGACCTTGTCTAAGTATTGTAAACTACACACCACATTATAAGACGCAAACCAGCAACTTAAAGGATTATAAGAATATGCTATTTAAAAGCCATGCTATCGTTCTGCTGTTACTAGATTTACTGTGCCACACATAAAGATAATGTATGTCAATAGGACCTGTTTGGAACATACCTGGTCATTAATGAGTAAGATACTCCCATTCGTTAGGGGACCAAGTTTTGTGACCCTGAGGCTTAATTATGTTTAGATATATTTCGGATCAGCATGGGGACCTCACCGATTCAAGGTGTTAGCTAAACAGTGGCTATTGTAGACCTGTCTGAGGCTGAAGCCAGAAAGGGAACAATTTAGAAAGAGAAAGTCTACTTAAATGCAGATATTCTCCGTGTCTCCACGCACTCCTGCCTCAGGCTGATGTGATCTTGGGTCTGATCCTGTTGTATCCTGACTGGGCAGTCACTGTAGGACCAGTGTTCATCTGAAGGGCCTTCACTCGGGCTCCAAACCGTGGCAGCCAAAGAGAACAAGCCAAGGGACTTAGATTTATTTTTAAGGACAAGTATTTCCTTCTCAGTGATCTTATGTTACCGAGCTTTAGAGGGAGCCCAAGTGGTCCCCCCGCCCTGTGTCCTAGAATGGGGCAAGTAAGTAGACATCAGTGATGCCCCACATTACTTGTAAGCACATCCTTGTACCGCTTGGGGCTTTTTTCCCTTCAGCCCTCTGTACCTAGTACCATATTCCAGTTTTAAAGAACTGGCAGAATGTGATGGATAACAGAGAAAGAGATCAATTTATGTTTATTGAAAGAACATTTTACTTAAAGATTTTGGAGGTAGGATGCGGAATGAACTATTGAGAGAGTTTGTCGTCATATAAATCCAACTGGAGAACTAAAATAGGTTTTAGTCCTAATTTTTGATCTTGTCTCTGCGGACTGCGAAGAATCACGATGCTATGTCTGCCTGGTCTGTGTGGCAATTGGAAGTTGCAGCGTGTGTGTGCTACATGAGGATCTTCCACAATTTCAGAACGCACGCCTGAGCTGAAGGGGGAAAAATTGGTAACTTGCCCATTATTCTCTGCTTTTAGCCAGAGTTAAACAGACTGATGGGTCTGGTAGCCAACAACTTGGCAACTTCCACTCCTTCTCACCTCGTGAGATTAGGGGCTGTGAAAAGAAATCTAGTCTAACTCCAACAGAAATCTGTCTCTGTGAAGTGTTTTACCTTCTGTAAGTAGAGGTGGTAGAGCCAAGATTTTTCTTTTGGTAATTTCCCTGGCTGTAAAGTGAGACCAGAGGGTTATCTATCCCCTTTTACCTTTTTGAAGAATTCGTAGCATTTGAAGATTGAAAAATTGAAATGATACAGATGAGTTGCTTTTCAACTCTGTGGACTTTGTACCGTTTGGCTTTACCTTGTACCATGAGATGAATTTGTAAACAAAACAAAATTGGACTGTCTGGAAAGCTAAAATGCTAAAATATGGAATGTACTGCCTCTAATTTTCCCTCTTTGTCTTCTTCTCACTCACATTTTTTCTCTCCCAGGTTTTTTAAGAAGACTTTTTTTTAAAGGAATGATTTTTGCCCATCAAGAGTAGAAAGAGGTAGAACCAAAGGATTCCTAGGCTTATAGCCCCTCAGTCACTGTGCACCATCCCCGGGCGAAATCCGTTCCTGAAGACAGCGCCCCAGCTAATGGCTTTGCTAGGCCACCAGCGGCACGCAGCCTTTGCTTCCGGTTAAGGGGAACTTTAGTCACCTGGCTGGCCTGAGAGGAGGTGGTCTTTCTTCCCTTCCCCTTTCCCTGTCCCTTTGCTGAATTTATCGAAAGCAGGTATCTTTCAGTAGCTCTGATTAGAACAAATCAGCTTAGGGATAATGTTACTCAGGAAAACAGTATGTACAAAAGTTTAAGAAAAAGAAAAACAGAATAACTTGAGAAGAATTCAACTTGAACAGGACCGAATTACTAGAATGGTCATGATGCAAGGAAAATACAACAAAGAGCCATCCATGAAAAACCTGTGTGCCCTCAGCCTGGGGGTGAGAACTCCGGTTCACAAATCCTTGGAACACACAGCGCATGATTCTTTGGGGCAGAGAGGCTGGCTGGAGCACAAGGCTCTCGCTGCCCACCGTACATAACTAATGCACACCCAGGCACAGGCCGAACATGGGGAATGAGGCCGCCAGACAAGGCACACCTGCCCCCTGAAGAACCTCATAAGAGAGAAGTGCTCTTTGCAGAGTCGAGACCTGGCAGGGATCATGGGACCACAGATAGGTGGTCACTCTGTGGCCAGTCACATAAAACCCTAGACTGCTCTAAGCCCTACCATTCCCTTATTTAAATTCCCACTAACTAGAGAGGTAGAGGAAGCTGCCTCCAAACCAATAAATAGGAATAAACACAAAAACACTGTTTCACAACTCAGCTTGAAAAGAATTGCTGGGCATACCAGGTGAAAGAACCCAAGGCCCATTTAGTACCCTGGGGGTTGGGTGTGGGAGAGGAGACATGCATGTTCTGCTGCTGTGGTCACTGCTGCGACCTGTCCTGCTCTGCCTTCGGGCCTGATTTGTACAGTTCCCTCTGCTTTCTGGACATGCCCTCTCATGGCCCAGAGCTCTCCCTGTCTGAGCCTAAACCTCCCAACCTCAAGCATACACGGGGCAAAATGCCAGGCACAGAGCGTTCTCTGAGAGTGAGTAGGCAGTTTTTCTGAGAACATGGGGCTCTTCCGTATACCTCAGCCCCAGGTAGGGCAGCTCAGAGAGCCAGGAGAATTTAGCTGGGAGAATGACAGGAAGTTTCGGTTACATGGACGCAGCAGGTAGTGGCTGAGGTCACCTTGATTGGGAGGCTGAACAGCAAAGCTTTATCTAACTGATGTGCGAGCAGTGTGCCTCCCCCTTCCTGAACTCCCCAAGAGGAACACTGCTCCCTGCTCTGGAACTTCACACTCAGAGAAACAGTAAGCCTGAAAGGGAGAAGTCTCCTCAGGGCCTCAGAAGTGTCCACTGAAGGTCTTTCCTGTCAGGTTTGGCTTCTCATTTGAGGCTCCATATGCTGCAGCCGATGTGGGCAAGATGGCTGGAGAGCGTGGTGTTTTCCGAGGCCTCCGGATGTCCTTGTGCGGTGTCAGTCCTCTCCGAGTCCCTGGCCAGTAATAGCATGCTTTCCGCCACCCACTGGTGCAGGGAGGAAGACCTCTCTGCCATCGGCAAGAGGACTGCCACTCCCTGAGTTACTATAAATCCACTTTGCGGCTGCTGGAGCACACAGGCCCAGGGGTCTTGAAGACCCTCATGTCAAACTGGGGTGTCAGACCTGAAGTTGATCTCACCGTAGACAACCTCAATTGGCCCACAGCTGGGGTGACAGTATTACAGTGTCTTGACCTTTTTGCTTTTTCTTTTCCTTGTATGAACTAGGTTCTCTTGAAGGGAAGATACTTTTTGACTCTTGGCAGTTTGAAGACTCTTATGTTGATTTTCTTCTATCACTTGTACAGTAGTCCCCCCTCATCCGCAGCTTCACTTTCCGAGGTCTCAAGTCCACCCTCCAGGAACGTGTTGAGCCAGAAAGCATTAAGGCTACACAAAGACTTCAGCAAGGGATCCTTCTGTGTATGTAGGAAAAAACATGCTATATAGAGTTCTGTACTGTCCACAGTTTCAAGCATCGACTGGGTGTCTTGGAACGTATGACCTGCAGATAACAGGGGACTGCTGTATACTTCAAAACATCACCTTGTACACAATAAAAACATACCTTGTTTTCTGTCAATTTGACTTCTGTCAAAATTGCAATGACTTCTAGGTGCTGTAGTCCTCCATGCGGACTGGCTGCGGGATGGCGGAGCTTCCTTGTATGAGACGTTGACGGACCATGCTAGGATGGTGACTTCTCATTGATCACCCTGTGGCAGCTCAGTTAGAATTTGATGGCAGCAGCCACATGTCCAGTTAGCCACAGAGCCACTCCCTCTCAGCTGGATCAGTGAGGTTTTTCCCAGCCTTTGTTTTGGGACCGCAGCCTCCACGGCAGCACCACGGCTCCAGCTGGGAAGTGGGGCAGTCAGGTGGCCAAGACCAACTCCTGATGGAGCCAGAACTTGCCTCCTTTCTTAAGGACTTCAACCGTGAACTGCAAATACTACGCAAACCAATTCACACAGGCAGAACCTCTTCCAGGGGCTTGATAAGCTGTACAACCAAGCCATCCAGCGGTTCCGTGAGGCACTGTGCGACACGCAGTGGTAACCCACAGACTATGTATTTATAGCTGTTTCGTGAGTAATACGCAGAGTACATGTTTTTAGGTATTTTAAAGTACATGAGTGGCTGTATTTCAGCAGCTGATGGACTCCAA